GGGGGGGGGGGGGGCAGTCGCTCTGGCGGAGACCAGCAAGGTCATGTCAAGGTCAAGTCAAGGTCATGTCAATAGCCAATATACGAATGTTGCATGCACCTGATACTCGCTCCACTCCTCTTTTCTCTCACCCAGTCATTAGAATGGGAGAATTGGTTTCTATAATAAGGACGGTTCCAACCATCGCATTTACCGGTGAGATATTGAACTTTCTATAAGTTTTGAACCGATTTGTTTGAAAATATCCTATGGAAAAATTAATAGAATTCGCCTGAAATTACTCAGTTTTAAATTTTTTTAGTTTTTTTTTCTATACTACTTATTCTATTGGGAAATTTTTTTCGTTTTGGAACAATCATGCAATATTTGTAGATGATGTAAACAGTTGTGAGAATTGTAGTGACTGACAACGATGTAAAGAGTTATTTTTGGTCATGCGGTATTTTCAGAAAGATGTAAACAGTTCTAAGAATTGTTTTTAACGATCATGCGATAAGTAGTTCCCAGAATTGTTTTGAATGACCACGCGGTAAACAGGTCCAAGAATTGTTTTGAACAACCATGTAAACAATTTTTGAGAATTTTTGTGAACGGTTACGCAGTCAACAAGTCCAAAAAATATTTTTTTAACCAGCTGAAATTTGATTCTTTGCACGTGTTCATTTCCGCAATGATTGTATAGTTTTGAAAGACACTCGATTGGAATGTTTTCAAAAAATAATTTTTTTCATTATTTTCAAATCGAAATCTTTCAACAAATTCTTCTCATTATTGAAAATGAGAGCTTCGCAATGTAAATTTTTTCGGAAAAAATAGAGATTTTTAGAAACATGATCAGCGTTTGATCTATTTTTTTCCATTTACCTTGAAGCTTATCAGAACTCATAGGATTATCATGCGTGAGAATAGGCATTACAATGATCATGGCTGAACAATATTTAGGGTTTGATCATTTATTCATGAAAAATCATATATGGGGTATTCCATGTGAACTCACCCGGGTCAAAACCCTCACCATCGCCAATCATATTGCCGATTTTTCCTGTGGTTGTATATGGAAAAATATGACTTCTCAATTTTTTTTAGATTTTTTGAGGCATCCTGTGAACAGCAATGTTTTTTTGCAAGTTTTATCTTTAAATGCCTGTAACTTCCGTAAAAATCAACTGATTTGAGTTTTTTTTACAAAATGTGCGTCTTTGAACACACTTTCCATATAAAAATATGCCAATTTTTTTCANGCCAATTTTTTTCAATTCGTTCTTCCATCGATTTCCTCAGAAAAATCTCAAAAAACTTAAAAAAACGAGTCGTTTTCAAAGTTGGACCCTTTTTATATTTTTCAAAAAATTTCAGTGAATACATTGGACCAAAACAAAATTTTTCACCAAAGGCCAAAGTTGGCTTCCCATTTCGTGGCCGTCATTTCCAATTTGAATATATGAATCCGAAAAGAAAAATTTCAAAATTCTTTTCGCATTTGAACGCAGAAGCATTATTTGAATTTACCACCTGAAGAATCATTGTATTATATTTGAATCTGGAACAATTTGATGATTTTTTGAAAATTCATTAACAATCAATCTTTCCGAGTGGTGTGTTCTAATAGAGATCCCACTTTGGCTTTTGGTGAAAAATTTTATTTTGGTCCAATATATTCACTGAAATTTCTTGAAAAATATAAAAAGGGTCCAACTTTGAAAACGACTCGTTTTTTGAAGTTTTTTGAGATTTTTCTGAGGAAATCGATGGAAGAACGAATTGAAAAAAATTGGCTTAATTTTATATGGAAAGTGTGTTCGAAGACGCACATTTTGTAAAAAAAAAACTCAAATCGATTGATTTTTACGGAAGTTACAGGCATTTGAAGATAAAACTTGCAAAAGAACATGGCTGCCCACAGGATGCCTCAAAAAATCTGAAAAAAGTTGACCAGTCATATTTTTTCATATACAACCACAGGAAAAATCGGCAATATGATTGGCGATGGTGAGGGTTTTGACCAAAAGTATCCATATATAAAAAGTATATATATATATATATATATATATACATATATATATATAAAAAAAAAAATTCAAATAGAATTAAAATTTAGAGAGAAAAAAAATCCCGATCCGCCCAGCCGGGATTCGAACCCGGGTCTCCCAGTTACGCGCCGGGCACTCTTCCAACTAAGCTACCGGGAGTATATATATATGTAGTATTTTGATAGATGATAGATTCATTCTCATAGTTTAATTTTAATATATATGATAAATTCGTTTTATAGCTTCATTTTTCATAAAATAATAGATTCGTTTTTTA